ACAAAGATTAAACGCTGCTGTTAAAAAAGACTTTTTATGGAGCTAAGGTCATAATAACTGAGAATGTGAAGCCAATATATCCATCTAAGCCTTTCGAACATGCGAAAAATGATGTCACATCCCACTGTATTTACCGATTTGAATGATCGTGCGGACACATATACATGGGGAGAACTCACCGGTCTCTCTAAGTAAGGGCTGTCTTCACAGCATATTCCTAAATGGCTTCAGAAGCAAATAGAATCACCAAAACCCACTAATCGTGAGGGCCGGAGATCTAGCTCCTCTATTACGAAACATATTATAGAGACAGGATATAAAACTGATGTTTACACGTTTTCTAAACCTATGCATAGAACGTGTTTGGGAGAGGGCATACCCTAAAGTTTTTGGAATCCCCAGCTAGCAATTAGAAAGTTTAAACCACCTTTATGTGTTCAAAGCAACAATTCGTCATCACACTAAACCTTCCTTCCTTCGTAAACTTTGTTTTGATACCAGTCAGGGCAGATCTACTATTACCTCTCTTATTTGGTTCAGTGATCTTTAATGTTATTCAAATGAACTGTCGTCAAGATTTGACAATAGTTCTAAAATATTTGGGCACCAAGGGAGAAGTAGACATTTAAAAAAAAATTATATTTGTAAAATCTCAGCGAGATTGAAATGAGTAATTCCAACGTTTCGTTCAGCAATCTGGTCCTAACTTCTTCATGGAAATTAATCGAAATTAACATAACAGAAGTTTATATATAAAAGGAACATCACTTGTTTTTAAAAACTTTGTCCGTTCATAAGTCATTCAACTAGTATCAACAAGTATAATAAACAAAATTTTATGAGCTCTGATCAAAATTTGACCTCAGACTTACAAATATTGGTCCTTATTACAAATATTAATCCTTATTACAAATATTAATCCTTATTAATAAATAAAAAATGGATATGTATCACTAATTATTAATACTTGGTCAAAATTCTCGACTGTCCATATCTTCTTATGGAAACGTTGAGATATGTTTTATAACTGTTTACCCACACACACATACACACTCTGTTTAAAGTGTTTAACAAAGGTAGACCAATATTTGTAAGTCCGAGGTCAAATTTTGATCACAGCTTATAAAATTTTGTTTATTATACTTGTTGAATGACTTATGATTGGACAAAGTTTGTAAAAACAAGTGATGTTCCTTTTATATATAAACCTATGTTGTGTTAATTTCGATTAATTTCCATGAAGACGTTAGGACCAGATTGCTGAACGAAACGTTGGAATTACTCATTTCAGTCTTGCTGAGATTTAACCTTATTTTCACCTTCAATATGTCCTTTTAACTTGACCTAACTTGTTTATTTTCTCACCTGTTATCTCTTAATTAGTTTCACATGAGTATTCCTATGACAAGTCCGTGTGTGTGTGTGATCAGATTGCTCGAAATGTGTTTTGCGCAAATATGCACATTACATGATTCACACGAAAATTACGTCTTCTTATTGCTTTATCTAAATATTATAATTTATAACTGTAAGAACATGAAGAGAAAAGTTTTACTGAAAAGATTATTCTGCGTTCAGATTTACTTAAAAAACAAGCTGTCGGGCTTGAATGGTTCCACTCCAAATGATATAAAATCCGCCTGATCAAATCTTAAAATAGTATTAAATCCTTACAAACTAATCCACTTGAAAAGTTTTAATCCTATTCAAATAATTGAAATAATTAATTTCTCAATAATTAAAATCTAAATATACATATTCTAGTCAGGAGAAAGAAACACTAATTTCCATTATCTGACATCAAACAGAATGAAAAACATCAGTTACAGTTATATTAATAATAATAATAACGGGGATAATAAATAGTAACAATTTGTTTTTGGTTTTTTTTACACTCTCCGAGAATATTCTGTCCCCGTCTTATCTAATTCCACATAGCACGTGGTATCGCCTTAATCACCCACCTTATGTGGTACATATATGTTTAAATATATGCATATATAAAAATGCAGTAATATATATACGCATACTTATAAAGATAGACAAATCATATCTGCTAAACATATGCTAACCATCTATACTTAAAATTTTTGTAACATATTTTAAATTTTCGTAGAAATAAATATCTTCTATGCCTTCCGTTTTTCCTTATTATATAAGAATATTTTTCCTATGTGACCTAGTTTCAGGATATGTAAGAGGAAATCTGAGTAATCGTCGTGGTAGTAGTAGTAGTAGTAGTATTAGTAGTAGTGTTCCAATCTCCATTGGTATAGATAGATATATAGATAGGTACACAGTGTACTCTTCTGTTTCAGAACAATTTACCTGCATTGTGTGTGAGTGTGTGTGTGTGTATGTTGACAACATCAACCACGCTGACACTTTTTTATATCTTAAAAGGAATTTTGTCTTCTCAGCATCACACTGATCCAATATAAATGTCGGCGTGTATTTAAATTTCGTTTTATGTATTGAGTAAATAATGCTTTGGTTATATATCAATTAATTTCGTTGATAAACTGATTAGGTAACTTTTCAGCAGACCTAGATAGATAGATAGATAGATAGATAGATAGATAGATAGATAGATAGATAGATAGATAGATAGATAGATAGATAGATAGATAGATAGATAGATAGATAGATAGATAGATAGATAGATAGATAGATAGATAGATAGATAGATAGATAGATAGATAGATAGATAGATAGATAGATAGATAGATAGATAGATAGATAGATAGATAGATAGATAGATAGATAGATAGATAGATAGATGGATAGATAGATAGATAGATAAATAGATAGATAGAGACAGGAATTATCCAGTGTTATGTGTTCAGTTAGCTAGTTGTTGACGTCAGCGTGAACTCAATTCTATCCGTCAGTGTTTGACATGTTATCGGCTACTGAAAGGTTGAGCAATCAATGTACCTACTACTGAAGTCCTACAAAAAGATGAATTACGAGCTTAAATAACTTGGTTGCTGGGTGTATGGCAACAGTATTGGGTGGGGGGGGAGAAGTCAATTCCTTCAGTGGTCAACAAGTGGTTCCTGCTTATAAGCAATATGAAGGATAAAATTTTACAGATGACACTCCAGTATGACGAGCTAGGTGCGTTTTATTTGAGTCCTTTCCAAAACATACCAGAGAAAATCCCTCAGCTGCAAAGAGGCGACACTGGTTCGTTGAAAAATGTCATAATTGAATATCTCGTCAAAATCTGTCACAGAATCTCAATTGCCTCATCATTCAGAGTCAATTGCAAAGTAAACAAAAAGTATCCACTGGACGCAGTGGATTTTCTAATTTCTTTGTACTGGAGAAGCTCTCACAATACGTATGAAAAACCAAACTAAACCAACTTCTACATATACCGTGAATATAGTTCGGTTTGACACTTTTCCGTGGTTCAGCCTCAAAGAAAGCTCTTCCCAGTGATCTGGATAAGTGGTTCTTTAGAATCTTAGCTGTGGTTATCAACTTTAAACTCAACGTTCATGAATAGCAGTTTCTTCAGCACCGTCTGGGTTATTTCCCGTTTCTACTTTACTTTCAAGTTTTTTCTCGATAAATCTTGAAGGATATCCATTTTCCATGAGGACTTGTCTGAGTTGCTCCAGTTCACCATCGATTGTATTACTGGTACATATCTTTCTTATTCTTGAGGATGTTGAGTGAATGAGATTCCTCTTTCTTCTCAAAGAGAATCAGCTATGAAAATTCATGCATTCACTATTGCATGTTGGTTTCCTGTAGACTGAACTCTGAAGAGAACCATCAAATCTTTTTCTTAACGAAGGCTTTGGTAAATTCGTCAATACAACCTCGAATTCATTATTCAGAAAAAGTTTGTCCAGCCTCTTATTCTACCATGGTCTTAACCTCTTCATTAGTCGTTCCCTCTCATTTTTAATGATTACTTTGCTTTCATTTTAATAATTAATTCATTATTATCGCTCTCATTTATGTTCCTTTTTGTACATTTGCTCACCTTATTCGCACTTGTTATATGGACACTCAACTACCGCCTTTCTTCTCACTCAGTAGCAATTTTAACCTTATCAAATTTCTAACGCCTTGTTCCTTTTTGCCTTTGAGTACTACGTAATTTACAATTTTTATTTTTTTACTTCTAAATCCAGTTCTGAGTAATCATATCACTTACGTCACCCTCTATATTACTCAATAATAGACTACTATACATTTTTGGTAAATATAAATACGACTGTACAGCCTCTAAAGATGATTTCGTCGGTAAAGAAAATTTTATTCGCTGAATTTGTTTTTTATTTTCTTCATGAGTGCCTATTGCTCAGGGACATAACAACTCTGTAGTAGTCTTTGATAGTCCGTAGTAATTCTCTAACTGAAATCATCATGTAATTAAAATAGTGTTTCGTGATGTTATCGGAGCCAAGCTTATCAGCTGAGTGTACCGAGTTTGGCTCAGCTCATTGCGAGAGTTTCCAAAGGAGACTATGCTGAAATAATCACCTCTAACTGTGAAAATTTCGAACTAATTTGGAAATTATGAATTTTGGTGTTTGTGGGTATCACTGAGTTCGACCAAGTCGCCAGCTAGTGAGAATTCAGAAGGTTTGGACTGTTTCAGTTCTCTGAGCTGAGTTAAATCAGGCACGCTGTTGATGAACCCGACCCCTCCAGTGAGCGAAACCTTCACTCGGTGTTTTCAAACGACTACGAACAAGCAGCCTGGCTGGCGAATACAATTTTTGATAACGAGCCCTAACCAACTACTCATTCATGTCAGTCATTCAGTAGTATAGAGCATGCTGTGAATATTCTCCGACTGGTGACCACTTATTATCAGAATTATAGAAGCATAAATAGTATTGTTTTGTATATTTTTAAACAGTGAATGAAACACACGCACACTCACACACACAGGGACAAACACACAGTCAGGCAGGAGTACTATTATACTCTCAACCGACAGGTAGAAAATAGGACAGTGATGGCGATGATCATGATGATAATGATGATGATGATGACGAGTAACAGCCACAGGAGAGACATCGATGACAAACATTAAAATGCTGGAAAAAAAGATTTAAAAGTACATTAATTTATTCATTGTCTTGTAGAAATTTATTTTTTTTCATTTATTTTATTCTTATTTAAACTTGTTATGTATTTTGAAATTGAGTAGAAGAGATCTATAAAGATAACATTGATGCAGTTGAATACTGATTTTATTTTTTGTTTTAAAATTAAAAATCTTAGTAAACATTGAATAGCTGTCTTTCTTATTACTTTACTGTTGTTTTTGTTTTAATTTGTGTTTTAAAATTTTTGGCGGGTTTTTTGATTTGTTTTGAAATGGAATATATATATGTGTATTGAAAATTGTTCAACACTTTTTTTGTTTATCTGTAGTTAATGTTATTTTTATTATTGTTTTTGCTGTTGATAGAGTACTTTTTAAAAAATATTCATTGCACTGTTTCAATTATATTTTCTTATTCTTCATTAAATTTTAATAGTGAAGTTGGATTCCATTGGAATAGACCACGGTTAATACGATCCAATTCTTTGATGATACAATTTCTCCATTTTAATTTGCGTACTTCATATGAAAGTAAGGCTGGATCTATAACATCAGTATCATATTCTTGTTCAACTTTAATACTACTTTTCTTTTTTTTATAGTAATTATTATTATTAGTGTTGCTACTATAAGTTCTACTATTGACAAGGCGTACACAATTCTCAGCTGCTTCATCCATTTTTTCAGATGAAAAGTACTCATTGATAAGAGCTTCATTTTCAGCGTCAAACTGGGAATAAAATCGAAAAAGGTGGTGAAGAAAAGCAACAATGATGGTTTACTCAGTTTTACAAAAAAATATTTAAACAAAATATATATAAGCAATATGGATATCTTGCGGGTGACAAATCAAACTAAGAATCTATTGCCTACCCAACAGATATGCAGGGAAAATAATCGAGATGGATGGATTGGTTTTAAACATTGGGGTGGTGGTTTGGCTATATATATCGCAAGTGTGGCAGGCTCTTGAGTAGAACCTGTTTGGGAAACTATGAGTTGGGTATGCGTTCAAGAGGAACATGGAGGAGATGAGAGTCTTTGGGGAATCGTGGAGCGATCTAAAGAGTACTGTAGGGAACAGGGTTAAACAGAGGAGTGCTGCTGAAGTACTATATTCTACGTGGAACCCAAGGTAGTATTACTAGTTATAATCATAAGTGATGTTTTGAAATTAATTAAGGGACTGTTGAGAACCTAGAAGTGCTCATTAGGGAATGACTACCTAATGGACCTCTTGAAGTTCTAATAAGAAGTCGTGACGAGTAGGATCCATTCAGTGGAGAATGCGAAGGAAGATACTCTCTGATGGCATTAACTGACACTGAATTCAAACTCAATGGATGAATGATCTTCCGGTCAAATTCGTAGGGTGACATTTCTGGCTTCAGTTCTTGAAGAGGTCGTGCCTGAGTATTTGTGAACTGTTCCATACAAAGACGAAATAGACGTCTATTACGCAATACAGCATTCATCATTAGATTTCAGGTAACTGAATACAACCGACATCAAGCACTAGTTTATTAAACAGCGAGAGGATGTATCGCTCTTTTAGGGACAGGGGTGACTGGTAGAAGTGTGATGGCCACTACACTTTCATCTTTTAGATAATAAAAATTTGAATTTTCTAATTTCAGCAGTATAGTTCAGTTTTGTATGAGAATGAAAGCTTTGGCAAGGTGTTTTCGTGCAAAGTAAAAGTAAACATCATACTTGATATTGATGGTGTGCGAACAAAGTGAGGGAATCACCTTTTAAAAAGCCAAACGTAACATTTCTGCATTTGTTTATGCCCTTCTTTTAACACGATTCGCCTCTTTCTGATGAATTCAATTATTTTGTTAAATATGCTGATGATCTGACTGTCTCAGTCACATCTCAATCTGGCTGTTCCAAACTCAGTAGCTTTTTGTCGGACATAAGTCATTGCTCCAAACTGAATGGTCTTACACTAAATACCTCCAAATGTCAGATAGTTAACTTCACTTTCAAGGATAAACGTGATCTACATGAACTTGTTCGTTCACAAGATGCTTGTAGCATGAAGGGCAATGAAATAGTAACTTAAGTCAAGGATTGAATACCATTGGAATAGTCCTTTACACTGCCCTTCCTTGATCATCCCATATCTTGTCTAACCTACTGCATCAGGGAGTCAAGTAAGTCAGTCACCACTCAACCTCTACTTTTACAATTGGTTATCCCTTGCATCTTACTTTTTGTTGATTATTGCCGCCCTCCATCCTCCCCCCGTCACAGTCTTTCCTGGGCTACTCAAAAACGACCATGTCATATTGTGAAGGGTAATGTAGGTTGTCAGCAAGGTGAGTTGCTTGACACTAAGTAAGCTAGTTACTATTGTAGTTGAGAGACACATGAACTCATGTGAGAAATAGTGTAAATTCATAATGTCTGACTCTCAACACCCTATCTATTCAAAATTCTCAGCCCCGAAACCCATCGCACCTCATCAGAAAGAACTGGAAGTCATTAAAAAAGATTATTATATGCTCACAGAACTAAGTTGGAAAACTCATCGATACCCTGTTTGGTCTATTCGTGTTGTATGCAATGAAAGGGAAGTGTTAAGCGTGAAACTTATAAGTTATTCTTGTAATTAGCGAAATAAATAGCTCTTTTATTTTCTCCTATTTTTAATTTATGGTGACACTTTCAGTTATGCCGTAATTTTACACTTTCTGTGCAGTTTTGAATTTATTGTCACCGCTGATACCAAAACGTAGCTGCTATCAATTTTGGTTACCTATGCTACGTAATGGATTTTTGAGTAGATAAAATGCAATATTGTACCAAATGCTCAAAAATCCAAGCTCTATCATAAGTGATGTTTTGGAATAAAGCAAATAATAATAATTATTACTACTATTATTATTATTATAGTATTCTTCTAAGCACGTTATTCATGATCACAAAAGAGACAGTCTACATGGAGCAACTTCTTAAAATCTTGACTGGTAGTCTCTGTTCCGTTCATTCAAGCATGGGTGGAAATGAAATGGAGGTAAGTTTAAATTGGGGTTTTTTCAACGTTAACATATATAACCGCCGTCTTTCAGTTTTTCAAAGTTTTGCGTTCAAAAGATCATTCATTAGGAAGGAGTGTAACTCAGTATGAGGTTATATATCTTCGGAGAATAAGAATGTTACTTACTTACTCATGATTAAGGTGAGTTGACACATATGCAATGCTTTTCAACTGAGATATCAAAACTTCACTTCTCGGGAGGCTAATAATTCGGTTATGTATGAGTAGTGTAAAGTTCTCTCTAGTGAATGGTATTGGAAAATACTTGTCTTCCAGTGTGAAACAATCATATAATGGGGACGCAGGGGGGGGGCACGGGGAAGCAGCTCAGTGATTTATTTCTTTTAACTGATACTTTCTAAATAGTCACAAAGTTTTTGAATTATTGAGTAATAACAGTAAAATGATGCTTGTTAATTGACTCAGATTGTGTGCCTACATGACCAGGGTAAACATAAGCACTACTTGTTGTGTGAGTGATATCACTACAGACTTGATATATTTCACATTATACTTGTAAAACACCTTAAATCATGAGGTAAAAGGGATTATTTCACTTCATTTCTGCTGGGATTAACACCTTTCATTAACAACTCACAATAGTAACTAGTTGTATAGCCGTAAGTTATCTGAAGTTCCAGTTTAAGTAGGAAGTCGTGTTCATTGGTGTTCATCAAGTCAAGCAAGATAACGGTTACTCACTTATGACACTGGCTGATCGGAAGAGGTTTGAACTTATCGAATCTCAATAGCACAGTGGTGTGCATGCTCGCCTTCATTTCGGAGGGTCCTATGTTTGAACCTCAGTGGGTGCGTACTGTTGCTGAAGAGTCAGTTCCAAGTTCAGGGACAAAACATGTGTCCTGTACTTGGTGTCTGGTTTCCTAACGGTTCTCTAACTGATGTCAGCCTAAGATCAAACCTGTAAAGGAATATCTGAACAGAGGAATCTAATTTATACTTAGTCGAATAAAGTTTTATCACTGAATATTTGATCGCCTGTTGAATAAAATTATATATATATATATATATTATTTTACATAAATTCTTACTGTAAACACACACGCAGTTAAGTGTTTTATTTTGCTTATACTTTTGAAGAAACTTTTGCCTAAACTGTGACATAGTACACATACAAGCTACTTTTCATTCCAGCTGCTTTCTTTACACTTGACTGGCATCAATTAGAGAACCATTGGAAAACAAGTTGAGAGTACTGAACAGCTGTTTCGTTCGCCTAGTTTGTGACTCTACACCAGTACTGACCAGGTGGGGGTTCGAACTCAGGATCCACTGATTACTGTAGAGATTTCTGTCGTTGGCATTTTACAGTTAATCGGTTTCGGATTCGAATGCCAACTTGCCTTATTCAACGTGGGTTATTAAATAGTATTATGAGTTCACGGCGGGCAGGTAACGCAAAAACCAAGATCCTGTCGCCTGCTGCACAGATATGCAGAAAAAAGACCGAGATGGATGGATTGGGTTTACACTTTGAGGTAGCAGTTTCAGCGATATGCATATATATATCACAAGTATGGCAGGCTGTCGGGTACAACCTGAAATCTGAGAAATGACTATTCCGAGAATGATATGAAAAGGAAATGATTACTTATAGGCGATCGTGTAGACAGTCGTCAAAGACTTCTTAAAGAACAGAGGGAAATAGAGATGTACTTTTGAAGTCCTACGCCCCACGTGGAACACGAGGGAATAATAATGATAATAATAATCATACTGACGCCTGAAAAAACATGAGAGTACGACATAAACAATTTGATATTGTAATTACCATCTTCTTTTGATGTATAAATTTAATCTACTGTCTAAGATAAACACGGCTAGTTACGTAACATTTGTTCACATTAGTTGGTTTCAACTAATAGGTCAGGAGATTGGTAATTCATAGGCCAATAGCTGGAATGTTATCAAGATTCCGATTTTCATCATTATCCCGACATCTAAATAACCAGTAAGTAGTCTACCATTCTATGACCATATCAGATAATCTCATCATTAAATGATAGTCAGTTTTTCCAACTTAAGAATATCTAAATTACCCTGCTGTCAACACTGAAATGTATTCATCATATGAAGAATAGGAATTAAGAATTTGAACAACTAAAACAACTACTACTCATAAAAGTTCTTCTATTTGACACTATCTCAGTACACCGAACTCAATTAATCCCAGTTTCAAAAGACGGGACTTCAGTAGCTGAAGTAGCTGTTGACCACCTACGCACTTAGTGAGACTTTGATTCTCGGTCAACACGCTTCTAAAAAAACCTCCCTTAGTTTATTAGCCTGTAGGTACATTAGTTCTGGTAAAGATGGTTGGATTGAGTTGGGTTTGTGTGTGAGACGTTAGTAGACCTCGTGTCATTGAACGAAAGACACCACAACTCTTTGAAACATCACACCTTAAAGCTTAAAGCCCTAGTTGCTCCACTAGTCAAAACGCATAGAAATATGAAAAAAATATGTATAGTATCCTTTTTAAAATTACTTTTATGAAGCACTTTTCTTTACTTTCTTCTAGTGAGACTCTTCAGTACTATAAACCGATGAAGAACATAAAGGTAGGACTGAAACACATATCCACTAATTCCTGGTTTTCAATAGTTTTCCCTCCCTCTCTTTCTCTGCCAAACTGGCATCAAATTATGATCTGACTTAACAACCAACCAAATCTTTGTGGAAACCAATACAGCATTCCACTGTGCTTTTTGGATTTCAATACAGAAGTTATCTAGCAGGATGGCTTAAGATGTGGATTTCGTCCTATTTCGGACTCGTCAACTGGATAAAACTTGTTATTTTCAGTTACACAACTAGTGAGTTAGTCAGTCAGTGGTTTTGGTCTTCACACTACTACTAGTCATCACCCTGTGTGAAGCCTCCTTCCTAGGCGCTAGGCGATATTGTCAGTTAAGGTGAAATATTTCGGTTCTACATAATACAATATAAATAGCAAATCAACTTAATGAAACAAAAAGCAGAATAAATAAAAAATAAATTCAACTTACCCGGTTTAAAGAGGTACCATGACTATGCGGTAAATAGTGTAACATTATTGAATAGATCATTAGTAAGAAAATCATTTCAATTGGCCACTTCATGTGTATTAGGTAATAGTAATACTGTTTTCCCTTTGTTTCAATAATAAGAAGAATAATACTGATTGAAATGCGCACAACAATTATAATGTCTGTGTAGATGTGGATAGATTTTGTTTGGAGTTACACTTATATAATCTGTGGGACCAAAATAGATTGATCAGCTATGAGTGTTAGATCGAAGTGTTAGATCTCTTGCAGAACTGTGTCTGTACGAATCAATCACACAGGAGACGTACAGACTTCCACTGACACTGGAACACGCACACACACACACAATCACAAACACAGAGACAGATAGTGAGATACTGAAACCGACGAAGACGGAGAGAGACTAGAGAGAGAGAGCGAGCGAACGAGACAACGGAATCAACCGAGTCAGTGACTGCCTTCGGTTCTCTTACATATTGTTTGAATAACAATTTAATTGGGATATTTATACAGATTTTTCAAAATTTATGATTGGTTAGATAAAAGTCAGCTTATTTTTTGAACAATAAAAAATTAATAAAGTAGTGAAAAGAGAACAAGGAGGTGTTTAAATCATCTATCTATCTATCTATCCATCTTTCCAACCACCCAGATATCTATCTACCTATCTATCTATCTATCTACTTACCTATCTACCTATCTACGTATCTACCTATCTATCTTTGTGTGTTTACACATCTCACATAATAATTATAGCAACAGTTAACACAAGCTCAGGGTAGTTTTTAATCCCGACATAAAACCGACCAATTGTAATAATGACTTTTATATGGCATGAGATATATGGATATATTTATATATATATATATAATTAATTAAATAAACGTGGACTTGTTAATGTTTGCGTTGGCGGTCAGTCAACCAACCACCTAGTCAGCCATACAGGAACTGTGAGTTCGATTCCCTACTGACATACTCTACGGTTTAACCTCTTAAACAAACAAACAAAAAGCAACAAAAGAGGGGAGGTGACTGAAACTTCTCATAGTACAAAACTGCAGCCGCCCCCACTCGCCGCCGTCCCTACCAGCCAACTCCTGCCTCCAAGCAAGTGCTGTATCTGTGTTCCTCTACTTAGAATGCAAGAGAGTCAAGGAATGGTGACAGATAAAAAGAGATATGTCACAACAGAAAACACACTGGTTCATCAGTCCGACTAGGAAGAATATTTTCGTATTGTTTTTAACCCTAGAAAAACCATACTACCAATACTAATAATAATGGTATTAATAATATTATTCAATCCCACTTGTTTATGTACAAGTGGGTTAACTGTAACAAATTGAAATAGGTTTGGGGGAAAGTTATCTCCACTCTTCAACCCCACTGTATATATATATATATGTCAGTATGTGTGGGTGGTTGGTTCAGGAGGGTTGAGGTATATGCCCACAAGTATTATCATTAGTTATTACAACATTTATCTGAGAATAATGTAATCGGTTGAGTTTTTGATTTCTCCTTTCAATGTTTAATCTACCGCTAAAAAATTCAGATGTTTGTTTTAATTAAACAAAATGAGTGAAATGTTTTACTGCAAACATTCACTTGGTTATATTTTTGTTAAATTGGAAATTTTCCTTGGTTCGCTGAAGTTCTTTTTTGGCTGTCTGCGCGACTGCCCATAGTCTTTTATATTCCCCTTGCAGAATCTCCTATATTCCACCTGAAAACACACACACACCCAACTCAACGTTTCCCATCCTGGTTCCATTCCGGCGGTGACCTGGCGCGCAGTGTCTAACAATGGTCTCTTTAGCGTTTGTTTGATCCATTTTGATTTTTCTCGTCATATTCACTGAGCGATAGGTTCCTGGCTGGCACATTTCCAGAGTTTGTCGTTGCTTATCATTTTTGGCCATCCGTCCTTCGATATGGAGGCAATGAAGTTAGCTAATAACCATATCTACAGTAGCCTGTTCGAAATGTTTTTCGTAATACCTTCACTAAGTTTTTGACCTACATATATAAGAACTGACTGACTCAACACTTGTGTTGAAATTTAGAATTTCGTCCTTTATGCTGGCTATGTGCAGATTTACAAACCGGTTTTGGTTTGATGAAGGCGTATCTTGCCTTTCTGATCCAATCTGATCTTCACATCTTAGTCCATTCCGACTGCCTGTGGATGAAACCATGCTTCCTGACCAGAAAAGTCAAGGAAGTAACCTCTGTTAAATCTCTCCCGTTGATGGTGATTGGTGCTGGATGTTGTTGCTGCTTTTGGCTGGTTGGTTGGTGTCCATCTTCATCACCTCCGTCTTCTCTGTGAGCACCCGTAGTCCTGTCTTCGCCGCCAGCCAGCCTTTTCTGCCAGTTTTTTTGGTTTTCGCCTACAGCTCTTCAAGTTTATATGACATCAGACATAAATCGTTGGAGAGGTACAGATCTTCTATATTTTTCCTATCAGCCTAAAAGTATTCCAGTCTTCTAGATCCACATATACTGTTTTCCGCATGATCCAGTCCACTAGAATTTAGATTACCATCGGTGATAATAGGCAACCTTATCACCTTTTTTTCTCTGTGTTTCCCGCTGTAGATCATTTGACTTTCTGCATTCTCATATAGCTACTGAATGAGATTGATAAAAGTTCGAGTCATTCCATAGTGTTGAATTTACTTGCGAATTACTTCTTGGTCAATGCTGTCGATAGCCTTTTCAGAGTTTATGGATCTGAGGTAGACAGTTGACTTCCATTCTATCCTCTTTTTTTTGATTTACAGCTTGATTCCACACCGTATTTTCAGTACAAGTGTGGAATTTTCAGCATGGATATCGGTAGCCCAAATTCAGGCCGACCATAGATATCGGGTGTGCGTCGGCAGGGGATTGAACCCCGGACCATGTGCATGGTCGGCGAGAGTCCTAACCACTGTGCCACCGACGATGATGATGCTTAGAGTTGCAATTTGATCTGCACTAGACAAGGGGACTTACTGTTTCAATTATTCTCCCTGTCTTGCTTCCGGTGCCATATATATAGAGAGAGAGTTTCAATTGGTTTTACGATGGTTCACAAGCTTACATTTCTCCCGCTTTCAATGGATTCCTCATCTAACTTAGCAATCATGGGGATGCCTCATGTGAGATTTCAACTGAATGTCACGTAGTGTGTTTGTCCAACCCACCCATTACCTCCATTCCCTTGCATTTCACTAACATCATAGTAGATTTTATGAGGCTGAGTCTTCTTCCTGAATACTCCTTGCAGCCTTTCAGTGTATTATACTAAACTGAATAAAACTGCAGGTGTATGCACCCACCGGGATTCGAACCCAGGACCCTCTGGTTACAAGGCGAGCCCGTATACCATTAAGCCACTGGGACCTGATCCAATGGCCAGTGGGTGCGTACTGATGAAGAGCCCCAAACTAGGATGAACCAGTTGTCCAGTACTCCCAGGTTTTCCAATGGTTCTCTAACTAATGTCAGCTCATTATGAAAATCCTGTCTGTCTGGATCATTAAAATGAAATCAATCACATTCAACTTTCTGATAAGTGATCAACACAAATGCCCACTAATCATGTTATGGGTGAATTGAACACCTAAAAGAGAAGCTCCACTGTTTTTCGCGGTAAATTCAAGTTGTTTAAAACGAAGAAAATTGAAAGTCTACAGATCTTTCAAAACCTTATCAATTCCTTAGGTAAACTCTTAAATCAATATGAAAATCTACAGTATTCAACACGCTCGAGGAAAAAGACCCATCACAAAAATTTCCTCCAACAACCTACTGCAGATTCGCATCAACACAGCTGTCTTCTTTTGATAGTTAGGATCAGATGGTCGGCTAGAAAAGATAAACAAACTCAAGGAACTCTAGTAGGTAATGGATCAGTTGAGAACAACAAAATATACAGAAAGAAATGGAGACGGAGCGGATATGTGTGTTGGAGAGGCTTTCAGATGATATTGCACACCAGTCACCATCGAAAGAAAGGTTGATGGTTTGACGGGGAGAGAGAGATACAATGGGTGGCATGGATATAGTCAAGTGGTGATGTGCTACATAAAAATGACGTTAGAGGATTGAGGGCAGTGCAAATGTGTTGTTGAAGCCATCTGAAGCACTTGGAGCGCAAGTAGTTTATTCGTAATATTTAGGTGACCTTAGAATGCAATTGTTTTCGAACTATAGGAATAATTACAGTTGATATTTTGATTTCTGAATAAAGCAAGAACAACAGTGTGGTTTGTGCGGAATAATTTGGTATCATCATTGCTTATTTCTTTGGATTCTCATCAATTCAGATGGTTACAGCCTAAATAAATTATGAGGTTAAGGTTCAGAAAAGTTTTAAAATACCTGCAAATTTTTTCATGATGTCAGTTGACAGAAGTTTCCACAACTAGTAAACAGTGCACAGAAAATTCCGCTTATATAGTTTTCACCCCGGCAGTTCAAGTTTCAATAAAATAAATGTATGGATACAACGGTAAAGAAGTTACGTAATAAAGACGAGAGATGCGTAAGATGCTGAGTGACAAATAAATTAGGTAACAATGTACTGAGTTCAACTAAAATCATAGAAACAAGAGACAAGCGAAATAACACTATGTCGAAAGGAGGGTTAGGTTAAAGCCAAATATTATGAAATGAAATGAAAAAGAGAACAAAGACATCCAGTTACCAGGGGGGAAGCAAAGACCGATAACTGCTTCTTTCTGAACACATAAACCTGGTTTCAAGCGTTTGATAGAAATCGCTTCTGCAAACTTCAGGAGAATCAAGCTCCTTTATCTATTGATAATTTTAAAGGATTTCGCGATTTCTATCTCACCACCCGTATCGCGGAGATGTCAGGTAATAGCGCTATTATATGAGTTTATTTCCTTGAGACGAAGGCTTTTCGGCACATGTTCAGAAAATCAGAGATGTGCCCTTCTTTCTGTTCTCCCAATGTAACTGCTCCCACAGATACACGTAAATTTGTATACACTGTTGGAGTTAACATGAGAAAGCTATCTGTCAAC